GCAGCCCATGAATTTGGACACGACCTGTGAAGGGTTACAACTGCAGACAACAGGAAGTGCACGCTCTCAGCCGGTGTGTGTGTTACCTGGTTGATGTGGGTCACCAGGTCTCTCAGTTCAGCACTCAGGGCCTCCAGTCCCCCCAGTCTGCGAGACAAATCTACCAGCAGCCCCTGGTACAGCCGGCCGCCCGCCAGCATACGGCTCACACACATGTCCTGCAGGGAAACACAAACCCATCACATTACATCACCAGAACAGACTCGACCACTACACAAACACCTGGAGCGATTCAGTAATTTTTTAATGGGCAGTAAAGGAACCAAAAAACTGTCAATAGCCTCCTGAACCTCCCCCATGACCAAAGCACATGCACTCCCAGAGCCCTCTATGACATCACTAAACCCTCCCAATTGCATTCAAGGACCAACTGAAACCATTAATAAGCCCAAAATGAACCAAAAAACTCCCCAATACCACCCACAGCACCACCCGAGCTGGAGACTGACCGCTGTGAACTGTTCGGACAGCTCTTTGAGGACGGGGGGGTCAGGGATTCCCAGGTTTATCCTCTTCATCTCCAGCTCTCCGGTCTGACTGGAGGGGTCGAGGGTAAAACCCTGAGGAGGACAGTAAACATCTATTAGCTCAAGAAGAAGAAGAAGGAGCAGCAAGTTGAACCCAGTACCACGGCAAACCGTTTAAAAGACACACCTGCCCATTGTGTGCTGTCATGCTTCACAAACCTGAAGTGGACAAGCATGCAGAAGCTGCAGTAAGCTGCAGTTCCACCAGGGGGTGGGGGAGCCGCTAGTGACCAAGGAAGCTATGATGTACGTTCCAGATTTCTTCTATTCCAGGATTGATGGCTAACACGCCTTCCAAGTAAATGTGTTAACAATGTTGGCTAGTAATAACATATCGCCCCCTGCTGGCACTGCAGCTTACTGCAGCTTTTGCAAAGCGTGACAGCACACGGTGGTCCGGCTGCGCCGTGATATGGACGGGCGTGTGCGTACGTCAATGTTGATGATGCTGCCGTGCACGGAGCGGACGTCTTTCCGGATTTTCTCCACCAGCCTCATCACTCGCTCGACCGCCTCTTTGAACGTCTGCGACGGGTTGGACGGCGAGCTGACGGGAGCCGACTGAACCAGCGCTGCTAACAGGCAGCAGTGCAGCAGGGCAACAACTGGAAAAACAAAGAGAGTGACCCCTGAGAAGAGCCAACAGCACCACAAGATCATCTCTGATACCAAGCACAGAAATCAAAAACTGTGGTCCAATCAGATGTGACGATGTTAATAAAGCATTAATTAATCGTTAATTATTCATTAAGAGCTAATTAATCATTAAAATCTTAAAAAGCGGCTGACAGCCAGAACTATGATGTTTACTCATTTGTTTCTGCCTCTGCACCCTCACACTCTGATGATCAATCATCAATGAACTTTTGGGGAGTTATTGATTAAAGCTTATAAATAAACTTTTTCACAGTTTCCTGGATTCGTATGAAAACAGCTTCAGGGACTCTGAACACACCGATTATGTTTTATTTTAATCTGCAAGCCTGACGGTGGTTCTGCTTCAACTATTCCTGAACCTTCAGCAGCCCGGACCTCTGAGCTGGACCAGAACAACCCGGAGGAGGACAGAGTCAGCGGAGCGGCTGAAGGTACTGATGCAGGTAGGCCTACTTATACTGTCACTCACATAAACAGGCGCAGGGCATTCACGCCCTCTGCTGGTTCCGTGTCTCAGCTGCATGACACGTGAAAAGTTTGCGAGCTATCCGAATATTTAAAGCGGTCCTGTGATCCACCGTCACACCAAGATCACACCTGTGCGCACACACATACAGTGTCTGCAGGTGTGATTCTCAGGACTGCACTTGCTCCAGCTCCTTCTAACTTGTTTGGCACTAATGACCCTCCATACAGACCCCCGTCGGCCCCCGTCACCTGAGCCTCACCTGAGCCGGACTGAGGCTCAGGTGAGGCTCAGGTGAGGCTCTGCAGCTCACTTTTTTAAAGTGACCCGACTCTTCTACCAAGCTCCGTGCGTATTTCTGCAGAGTTTAGCGGCCCCTCCTGCGTCACGGCGCATGCTCTTACCTGTGAACGCGTTCATGTCTGCGGGTCCGTGGGTGTCCCTGTTTCGGTGCGTGTCTGCCGTGCAGCTGCTCGGACTCTCTCTGAACTTTCATTCCAGCCGCTTTCTCGTTTTTATGCTTCCGCGCGGGGTTTTCCGGTCATTCCGTCACATCTGACGGAACTTATTCGGTGCTGCTGCGTCACAGACACAGCGGGGCTCGCGCTCTGACCTCACAGAGCGTGAGTCAATGCGGGAAGTTTGGATGTGAGCACAGAAGTTCCTGCTAATCCGGGATGTCAGGATTATTCACAGGTAACACTTCCTGAACCCACCTTCTGCCCACGTGACGATGTTTACACTGAATCATCGCGTGGGTGTTTCCTGTCGTCCGCTCCCACCTGTCACTCACTCAAGTTTCAAAAAGGTTTTAGGTACTGAGGGTCCACGTGTGTTTTTGACTCCTCCCCTCACCGAGCTGCTGACTTCTTGTCCACGGTTATTACAGGTCACCAAATCTAACCAATGTGTGTGAACTAACACTGAACTAAAACCTGTGTGTGTCTGTGTGTGTGTGTGTGTGTGTCTGTGTGTGTCTGTCTGTCTGTGTGCTGTGTGTGTGTTTACCACAGCTGACCCTCGAGGCCAGGGCTGGGTATCGATTCACTTTGATTCGATTCAGTTTTCACTCAGTCAGTCAGAAATATTCTAATTCTGATCAGTTATCAGTTCATCTCCATATTTTGTGTCTGTGTATAAAACCAAGCTGACACTGTGAGACTTGATCAGAGGTGTGAGCATCACAGCAGAGGCCTTTGTGTCAAAGTCACTGAGGCTAAAGCAGAAACACATGAAGGCTTTTTATAGCAGATAAGCTTAAAATTCAGTGTGTTCAGTGTGAGCAGCAGAGATGAGGCTTTGCTGTCAGAGGCCGACAGCACTGAACACAGCAGCAGAGAATAATGCAGAAAACAGATTTGATGGTCTCTGAGTGCAGAGAGAGAGAGAGCTGTGCAGGACGTAACAGCCAGAGAAATAGCACCTCTTCTGCCCGTACATTACACAGACGCCACATCGGGGAGACCGGTCAGAACAGGTGGCATAAAGAAAGACAATGACATGTACGACACAATAAGGAGTGGAGGAGAGAAAAAGAGTTTATCAAACATGAAGCGTAGTTTGATCTTCTGCTGCTGGTTCAGTCAGGTTTGGTCAGAGTGATGAAACCTGCAGACTGACTGTTATTTAAAGGCTGCAGGTTAGTGCAGGATGAACAGGTGAGTCTGCTGCACAGTGATGAACAGTGTGACTGCTGCACAGTGGCTGTCTAACATAAACAGAGTAGTATCAGTGTGGAGGATGGACATCAGCTGTGAAACATCTGCTGACATCTGGATGAATCCAGGTGTGTAATCCACAACGAGCAGCAGGTCAGCTGATCACATTAGAAGTTCATGTGAGCTGTCATGTCTTCCCCACACTGAGACACTCCACACATCTCAGTGTTCCTCCACCTGCTGACCCCAGACTCATGCTCCTGTTCAGGTGTGGAGGTAAAGTCCCCCTCTGCCGTGTGCTGACTGCACATTTATTTCTGCGTCCCTGCAGGTGTGCTGCAGAACAGGTTCAAGCTGAGTACATTTGAATAACATTACTATTCTCATATACTCAGATGCTTTGATGATTATATTCCTGCAGCACCAGGTTCCTTTGTACAAACATGCTAAGTAGAATTGTTCTTCAGGGAGCTGCTTTTACTTCCTTACTGCGAGTACATTTCAGAACTGATACTTTTTCACTTTTACTTGAGTAAAAAGTTACTTCAGTACTTAAAGTTTTACTGGAGTATTATAAGCCAGGTATCTGTATGTCTGCTTCAGTACACAAAGTCTGTGCTTTGGCCATCTCTGCCTGATGACTTACTGAGACTGTAAGACACTGCTGTCAAACAGCTCTGTTTCCATGGTAATACCTGCATGCATGTGTACATGTGTACAGGTAAGCATGACTCATGTTGTTGCGTGCTCAGTACTGGCAGTGAGCAGGTGTGTGTTTGCTGCTTTAATTTTAATTTAATGCTGCACAATCGTGGCTCAAGAGTTGGGAGGTCGCCTTGTAATCGGAAGGTTGCCGGTTCGAGCCCCGGCTCGGACAGTCTCGGTCGTTGTGTCCTTGGGCAAGACACTTCACCCGTTGCCTACTGGTGGTGGTCAGAGGGCCCGGTGGCGCCAGTGTCCGGCAGCCTCGCCTCTGTCAGTGCGCCCCAGGGTGGCTGTGGCTACAATGTAGCTTGCCATCACTGTAGGGTTGTGTAAAGCGCTATACAAATACAGGCCATTTACCATTTAATGTTTCTGTTCACACAGAGGAGCTGACGATGATTGGTGAGCAGCTCTCAGGTGTAACAGGTGACCTGAGGCTCACCTGCAGCCGGTTAACCTGGCTAAGCCACACTGTTGGGCCTCAGAGTAACTCGCTCCCTGTGGGTCTGCTTTTCCTTCAGACACACAGGGAGGAAAGGCCGGCTCTGATTTACGGTTTGTTATGTTTAACAAAACGATCTCTGACCAATGACGTCGCAGCAGCCCCGCCATGAGAGGAAGCTGGACGTGACGCTCGGTGTTCAGAAATATCCGTGCTGCTGTTTGTCTCAGAGCGCAGGAAGTAGAAGGACGTGCTGTTCCTGGGCAGCCGTGCGAACAGAACGAAGCCTCGGAGATCGATGCTGATCCTCAGGACCAGCTCTGTGCTGGTTACAGCTCCATAGCCACGCCGGCTCTGTCCTCGCCTCTTCTTCCTCTCATTCCTACAGTCCTGCAGCGTGCGAGCAGTAGATCGTGTGATCATGTGACCGTTCCTTTCTGTGTCTGTGCAAATGTTCATGTCAACATATCTGAACAGCGTGTTTACAAAGACTCTGCCAACCTGGAACCAGGAAACAGCCCCCCGTCTCATCACTGCTGTCTTCCACGCCCTCGATGCCAGACCAGTGCCAGTGGACTCAGCCCTGTGTACACAGCAGACACTGACAAACAGGACAGGACTCATTTCAGCTGCACCCTTTTAGATATTTCCTATTTGTTTATTTGGAAATAAAAATCCTGTTTGTGCGTTTTCACCTCTCCCAGCAGCCCACGTTGTTTCCAGTCTTTCTCCTCTCTGTGAGCTGAAGCTCTGAGGCGTCCACAAACGTCTGCCCTGCAGACGGTGACGAATCTCCTCTGTCCAGGATTTCTTAAAAAGCAGAAGCACGACGGCACGAGAGGAAGTGACGGTTAATCTGTTACAGCAACGCACACACAGACACACACAGACACACACATACAGAAACCTTAAGTCAGATTTCAGCTCTTTCCAACTTTTCAGAATGCGTTCGACCTTTGACCCTCATGAACCAGCTTAAAGTTCACACAGATGCTGGAGTTTAACAATTCATTTTTATTTATGCAGCACAAAATCACAACAAAAGTCGCCTCAAGGCGTTTTATATTGAGGTAGACCCGACAATAATACGTACAGAGAAAAAGCCGACAATCACTCGGCCCCCCATCTTCCGCCCCCCTCCCATGTGGTGTACCTCAAGGATCCATCCTCGGGCCCCTTCTTTTGAGCATTTATTTACTTCCTCTTGGCCATATTATTAAAAAGCATAAAGTCTCTTTTCATTTTTGTGATTTATCTCCCCCTGAAACACAACGACTCCCTCAGGCCTATTTTAGACTGTCTCAAGGATATCAGAGCATGGCTGGCTCTCAATGTTTTAAATTTTAATGAAAAGAAGACCGAGGTCATTATATTTGGGCCGAGTGGACCTGGTGTCCCTCAATCTGACCTGGGTTCTCTTACATCCTGTGTCAAACCAATTGTCACCAACCTCGGAGTAAAAATGGACACAGCTCTTGAAATGGACAAACGGGTAAATACAGTGGTGAGAAAAAGCTTTCAGCTGAGGCAGCTCTCTGAAGTCAAACCTTTTACATGCATCTGTGACCACTCGCCTGGATTATTGTAATGCACTTCATGTTGGTACTGATCAGGCTTCACTATCGCGCGTCCAGAATGCTGCTGCTCGCCTGCTGACGTGAGCACTTTAGCCCTGCTCCTGCCTCCTTACACTGGCTGTTGGTCCATTTTCTTTTCAAAATTTTATTGTTTGCTTTTGAAGTTTTAAATGACCTGGCTCCTTCTTACCTGTCAGACCTTCGACACCAATACACTCCACAAAGGTCTCTCAGATCATCTGACCAGTCACTCCTTGCTGTCCCCATGTCGAGACTGAAACACCGAGGAGACCGAGCTTTCGCTGTTGTGGCCCCCAAACTATGGAACAAACTGCCCCTCCATATTAGGCTGGCCCCAACACTTGAAATGTTTAAATCACTTTTAAAAACACACTTTTTTTCAAAGACTTAGCAGAGTCAGCTGGTAGTCAGCTGTTGGTCACTCTTAATCTTTTTATTTTGTTAATCTTATTCATTGTATATCTATATATTATAATATTTAATATACAGGGAGTGCAGAATTATTAGGCAAATGAGTATTTTGTCCACATCATCCTCTTCATGCATGTTGTCTTACTCCAAGCTGTATAGGCTCGAAAGCCTACTACCAATTAAGCATATTAGGTGATGTGCATCTCTGTAATGAGAAGGGGTGTGGTCTAATGACATCAACACCCTATATCAGGTGTGCATAATTATTAGGCAACGTCCTTTCCTTTGGCAAAATGGGTCAAAAGAAGGACTTGACAGGCTCAGAAAAGTCAAAAATAGTGAGATATCTTGCAGAGGGATGCAGCAGTCTCAAAATTGCAAAGCTTCTGAAGCGTGATCATCGAACAATCAAGCGTTTCATTCAAAATAGTCAACAGGGTCGCAAGAAGCGTGTGGAAAAACCAAGGCGCAAAATAACTGCCCATGAACTGAGAAAAGTCAAGCGTGCAGCTGCCAAGATGCCACTTGCCACCAGTTTGGCCATATTTCAGAGCTGCA